ACCCCCACGCAAAGCCGTAGCAGGGACCCAGCGGTGAAGCAGCCTAGCTGGAAGCAGAACAAGAGCAGCGGCATTAGCCCCTTCCTTGGGGGGCCCCTCACTCCTGTGTCCTCTGACTACCTGGACAGCTACCGACGGGCCCAGTTCCAGGCCCTGCTGTCCCAGGTGAGCCCTGGGCTGATGCCACGGCTGTGCTGCGCCAGCACCAGGGAGGTGGGTGTGCAGGTGAACCTGCGGGCCGACGCCGCGGTGCAGTGCTCGCTGGGGCCGCGCACGCTGCCTGTCGGCCGCCCTGTTAGTGCCGCTGCCCTCCGCACCCAAGAGTACCCTGCCCTCTACTCGCCTGTCTTGGGCCACCGTGTCCTCGTCTTGCCTGAGGCTGCTCAACCCCAGCAGCAGGAAGAGGTATCCGAAATGACCCCTGAGGAGCAGAAGGTGGAGGACAGTAGCCAAAAGCAGCAGGATGGTGAGGCAGAGGCCGCTGTGCCAAGTGAGGAGACAGCAGAGATGCCACAGGAGGTGACTGCAGCCCCCAGACGTCGGGCTGCCTTCCAGGTGTGTGGTGCTGGGACACCAGGGCCTGAGGAGAGGCTGGGACCTGCTGCAGCCCCCTCAGGGCGAGAGGGGTGGGGGGCGAACCATGAAGCTGGATGGAGAGGGATCTGCTCTTGAGCAGGAAAAGGCACAGTGGTCCCTGGCCAGGCTTGCCTGCCCCCAGACAGCTGTCTCCATTGCAGTAGCTGAGCCTGCTGCCTGTGAAAACAGGTGGGAGCTGGGCTGGGGGCTCTTGTGGGGCTGGGGGCTGCTCAGTGAATTTTCTCTCTGCAGTTTTTGGAGCAGAAGTATGGCTACTTCCATTGCAAGGACTGCAAGACCAGATGGGAGAGTGCTTATGTGTGGTGCATTTCTGGAAGCAACAAGGTAGTTAAGTAATTTCTTGCTCCTAAGACTTGTGGAGAATAGCACCAAATTTGTGACAAATCAGGTCTTTGGCACAAATTGAGGTACCTGTACTGAACACCCTGAATAAGTACGGTAACTGAGAACTTGCTTTTTTCAGGTGTATTTCAAGCAGCTCTGTCGCAAATGCCAGAAGGGCTTCAATCCCTATCGAGTGGAAGCAATCCAGTGCCAGGTAAACTAAGATTTCTGTATCCTGGTAAGACTGGCATATGTTTAATCGTTTAGAGGTGCTGAATTCAGTATGGAGTTCATCTGGAAGAGAACTTGCTTTCACCAAAGTACTGCAGATGTTACTTGGGAAAGGCGTGACGGTGTAGGGCTCCCTCCCCCTGCGGATGGCTTACACACACGATGTAATGTTCACACAGGGTTACGCCTAGCCACGCGTAGGGTAGGGGTTTGCGTTTCTAGGCGAGAAGGCTCTTGCAGCTTCTCTCCACAAGAGCTCTTATAGTGTATCAGCCCAAATGTATTGCTATGATTAAGGAAAACTAAATGTCACTCTGACCTGACACGTGCACCTTTGCTCCACTAACGATAAAATGCCCTGTTTCCAAAGAGCTGTTCGAAGACTCGTTGCTCCTGCCCTCAGAAGAAAAGACACATTGATCCCAAGAGACCTCATCGTCAAGAACTCTGTGGCCGCTGCAAAGGCAAGAGGCTGTCCTGTGACAACACTTACAGCTTCAAGTACATCGTCTGATCCGTGTGCCCTCTTCTGTTCTGCCCTTGGCACTCTGTCAGTCTCCTGTGATGTTCTGACTCTGGCTGTTGACCTGGCATTGGATAATGGACAGTCTTTGTATTATTTATAATGTATTTAACTTGTATATATGCTGTGAATAAAGCCCAATAAGTGCTTGCACTAGTTTGTTACCCCTTAGTTTCATCTTTGTGATGAAAGAGGAAAGTATCTCTGGAAGGAAATGGAACCTGTTTCATTTCCTAAAGAAAACAGGTTTTGATTTTAGTCTGCCTTCAGTGGGTGCAAAGACTAAAACTGCCATAGTAAGGTTTTCCTTCAGTCCTCCGAACTCAACTAGTGTGCAAGACACAAATAAGTGTTCTGGAGTAAATCTGCAAGTGTCTCTTCCCACTGCCTCTGTCAAACATGTTTAAAAAAAACAGACTGAACTGATAATCAAAGGCTTTGTCAGTAAGATACGAGGGAAAAGTGTGAGCTCTGTGTGTGCCCCAAATGAGGAAGGAAACACCTTTTGAGCTGGGGTGTCTGTGATGGCATGACAAGCTCTAGACTAGATGTAACAGGTCCCAAAAGAGGTAGAGCAAATCCCTGTGCCCCCAGTTCAAATAAAGGCTGGTGCCTCGAAGCCTTCTGGTCATGTAAGGGTCTGAGAGCTCTGTGTACTGCAGAATCAGAAAACCTGTAGAAGAAGCCGATCCCACTCCTTTTATGCATCAGTGGTGGTATTTTTCAAGATTAGTGCAAAGCTGTGCAATTATTTTGAAAACGAAAAAGTGGTGAAGGGGAGAGGGCTTTACTGGATTCTCGGAGCCTGGGCTGATGCAGTGGGCCAGAGAGCCTGAGAAGAACAGCCACCGAAACCCACCGCTGGAACTAACAGGACCACTGATGCTTTTAACAGAAACAAACCTCCAGCTCCGTTCTGGGCTTCTTCCCCGTTCCGAACACGCTTTAGCCAACATACTCTTCCTGACTCTTCTGTAAGGACAGATGGACAAAAAAAGTCTTTATGTTTCTCAGACGAACGCCGTAAACCATGAAAAAGGTGTCTTTTGGGGGCTGCTGATGGCCGATACCGTCCACGACAGCACCCGTTCAGACCAAGACGCGGTCTTCACAGCAAGCACATACTCTGTTGCGATTAGGTATGACTTGTATATTTTAGTTAAATGGATGTACTGCTCCAAACAGCAACCAGAGTTACTTCACAAAAACCGCAGGTGTATTTACAGAGTGAATAAGTTACACAGTTGTCAGAATAAAAGTGTCTTAGATGTGCAACAGATTTACATGCATACGTTTAACACTGGACAGCAGTTAAATGGAAGAAAAAAACATACAGGTGTGACTTTTCTATATACATTACAAATAAAATAAGACATCTAAGAAACTTAACATGAGAACTTGCATTTCATGTTAATATTTTTACTTTTTATACTCAAAATTTATATTAAATAAAAATACGCATGCATAACAGTTTGAAAGATTTGACTCTGTGATGGGACTTTCTCCTACAAAATGGCAAGTTAAATTAGATCAACCATCCTTTAAGAGTATAAATATATTCATAAAAGCAACCCTCTAGTAAAAAGCAGCCAAGGTCCTTTAAAAAAAAAAACCAAAAAGACAAATCTACCAAGACCATTCACGGCATTTGGGGGCCTAAGAACAGACCTCTGCAATATGATCCAGTACCTTCGGAGACAGTAGCCTAGTAACATTAGGAAATGTACTTCATAGCAGCTCGTTGTTTTAAGATACAGTAATCGTATTCAAATTACAGTGTACATTAAACTGCAGTCCATTTACAGTTTGCTTCATACACACAGGCTCTCAGCTTTTGACCAACAAGTTGGCGAGATTCTGTGGCCAGCTTCATTCTGCCCATCTTTCACTCGACCAAATAAGAGAGAAAAAGGAAAAAAAAAAAAAAAGTACAAGTTTGTTTTCTTTTTAACAAAAAAATATTAATTTGTGAAGGAAAACATTGCACTTTTGCCAACCTAAAATTAATTTGCTATAAAGGAAGTATTGTTCAGTGTAGTAGGCTTTGGTATGCAATGGAAGTCACTTCTTCAGTAGTGAGTCGCAGTTGCTCGGTGAAATGCTAACTGATTTTTGTGCAACAGAGAAGAGAGGATGTTGTCCCAGACGCGCTATGCTACCTTTGTCCTTACAGTATTGCTACACGTTTGAAGTTCGGCCCGCATCTTTTTAGAAGAGATCCTAAATGTAACAAGAGCGAGTACAGTTTGACCAAACCTTTGTAAGGCTGAGAAGACACTGAGCCACTTCACTCCAACAGGGCAGCACTCCCAGCTTGAAAGAGGACGCAAGGGTCCTGTCAGAGACTTGTGCCGGAAACGCTGGAGTCTGGAAGAAAAGTATTGATGACCCGGTAACTCTGAGCTCTGCGAATCATGTCGCGGATCTCGATGTTCAGTTCCATTAATTTGGTACAGATTTCAGTCAGGCTCTGGTTGGAGCCCACCAGTGCATAGGTGCCCGTCTGACCCAAGGTTTGGTGCCGGAAGTAAATGTTCAGTAGTGTCTGGACTTCATCGTCAGAGCTACTTCCAAAGATATCATTGGGCCACAAAATCCTGCAATCAAACAGGAAAATAATGTGGGTGTCCTTGCGGGATTATTAGCACAGGCAGGAAGTAGGTGATGGAGAGCTCTAAAAGGAGAACTGACTCACACACGCTGATAAGCCAAATGCAACTCACTGCTTTCTGCTACTCATTTCTTACTCAGACTCTGGTATCAGGCACAGAAATCACATAAAAAGCGCAACTCCTATTATCTAAACAAAAAAAAAGCTTATGCAACTCATTCAAGTAAGTGAAAGTGAACCTGGGCTGAACGTTAGCTGATGCCAGTGACATAGGATAAAGTCTTTTATCCTATGGAATTAGCTCTACAAAAACACACCTAAGAGCCTCGCAGGAGTACTTTTGATCTACGCAATGTAATTAAACATCATCCTTGTTGCAAGCAGACGTGCCTGCGTTACTCATCTGAGAGCGTTACTTGTGGCGTAGCCCTGCCAAAGTCAGTCACACCAATGCCCCTGTGTACCTCGCCGGGACGTATCAAATCAGTGAGGCTGACCCAGCACGCTGCATTTACTGCAGTCAGAAGAGAACAAATGCACGCTATTAACACGGGAGGCTGGCACGAGCCATGCAGCAAAACTTGCCTGCATTCTCTGATTTGTCGGACGGCTTTAACGAGCTCATTGTTTTTCAAACACTCCAGCATGGACTGAATAGCTGCTTCCGTAGAATTGAACGTGGGCTCAGACTCCGTCGTCAGAGGCTCAGCTGCAAGTGCAGCAGTAGCGTCCTTCAGATTCTTCTTCAGCTCGCTCAGCTCTCTTGACATATTTAACAGCTGTTCCAAGGAGAGAGATGAGAGATGGGTATTTTCATTCTCCACAGGCACCAAGGCAGCAGGTATCTCAAGTCTGTTTTTACTCCTGCACTACGGGAAAGACCCCGTTTGAACTCAGGGACATCTCTTGATCTCTGTGCTCTGTACCATATTGGAAACACAAACTGTGGATCTTAAAGCTTTGTGCTTCCTTTAACCCTATGCTGTATTTCTGGCTTGCTAAAACGCAAAAGCACATCTAAGCAATCTTTTATGCTTCACCCCTGCTACTTCTTTCACATCATAGTGGGAAAGTTTAGGAAAACGTTTACTACTCCTGGCAATTTGTTTACAGACCACATGAAGGATCTGATACGATTAACAGGTGGACAGGACTTGTATAACCCTTTGTCAGGCCGAAAAGTTAATGTGGCGAAAGAGTCACAAATAATTCATAAATGAACAGTTCATTTCTGAAGATTCATGCACATGCATGCTAAAAATAATCACTGTTGCGTGAACTAGCAACGGAACTTCCTTTAAAAAACAGTTTATGGCTCCAGTAAAACGTGCAGATTTCAGGGTGAAACAGCTATTCCTCATATTATTGTTCCCCATATCCAGAGGCTGCATTATTTAGAACAATCTAACAGAATGGGAACTGTGAAATGCAGTTAGACACAAAATATTCCTAAAACTTAGACTACTCCAAGGCTAGGTGCCCACTGTCCTGTCCTCTCTTCAACAGGAGCAGCCCAGTCACGTTACGACCCAGCCTTCCGAACAGGTCCTCAAGACGCCGGAAGCATTCAAACCCCTGGTACTGCTACACCACCATCTGATAAAACAAACCATTTCCATGTACAGACAACCTGTAAACTACTAAAATCTGCCATAAAATACAGCCATAGCCTGAATGTCTATCTACCCTACACACCTTTGCCTGCTCAGGTGTGAAAGGATGCAAAAACATTTAAGACCTGTTTGTCAAAAACTGCTGCGCACGTTTCCAGTATATTGCACATTCAATGGGGACAGTTTATATGGCTGGAAATTACAATACATTATCCCAGCAAAAACTTTAATTTTGCCTCCATATTAAGATTAATTTTCCAAATTATTTAGTTACTGACATGCTAACAAGTGTTCCTGGTCTAAGCGTTTCCACAGAGCTCAGATGACATGAGTCATGATCTACGAAAAGGATATTTTCTGTGTGAAGAAGGCTCATTTTTCCTAAAAATCAGGGCCTCAGTTAAATCACTTGCAGATTTTCACACAGTGCAAGCCCTTCCTACGCGTGAAGTGTGTGAATGAAGTTCGGATTCCATGTGTCATCCAAGTTTGTTACCACTGACTGAAAAGACTTTCAAGGACCGCATGTATCCCAGTCTTTGCAAGTACAGTCAGTTACAAAAAATACAGCACCACGACTGTATTTTAATGCAGAAGCTGGTGGACTAAAGGGTTATGAGTCATTCAGGGTGAAATAGTGTAATTTTTGGTGTAAGTCCACAGAAAGAAAAATAAGAACATGAAAGTAAAGGGGTATTTTCTGTGCAAGACTCCGTAGTTTGTTACATACCTCTGGCATGGAACTGACTTCATGCACTTGCCCGATGAGTTTACAGTAGGACTGAAAAAGCAACAGCAGCTGGAAATGCAGTTTATATAATCTCTGACACAGTTCCAATTGCTAAGGAAAGATTTGTAGAAGAAATAATTAGTAAAGATCAGCGAGTTGGGATAATTTCCAGTAACTAATAAACCACACTGAGATAGTTCAGTTCTTCAAAAGACATGTATGATCAGATACTCTTTCACAACACAAGGAATGTTCTTTCTTCTGCAGGTAAGTCATATACGACATTGAAGATCAAAATTGTAAGGGCTAGCTCTCATGTAGCACACGCCAGCATCAACCTCAAAGCAGTTTATATAGGTTCGCTTCAGCACCCCCAGTTTGCAGCTGGAAAGCAGAGGCAGAGTTTGGGGGAAGACTTTGCCACACAGAACATAAAACTCTTTGAAACTCCAGAAATGGTCAAAGACCTGTTCTGAGAGGATGGAAATCCAAGAGGGAAGCAGTGAGGGTCTAAGAGGGTCAAAGCTCCTGTCTGCTTCTCTGAGGGGAGAGGAAGAGAGGCAATAAATCCAGCCAGGAGCGTGAAGGATGAAATGCCAGCTCTCTGTCTTAAACCTCAGCTCATGGATTTTCCAGCGCCTCAAGAAACCACACAACAGATGGATGTGCAAGAGGACATCTGGCTTCTAGGATTTATTCTCCCAGGTTAAGCAGGTACACTTCTACAGATATTAACTTGTTTCTTCCAGCGAAACGCGCAGCACCGCACAACAGGGGTCAGACACACTGAAGTAACATGCGACGGGCACGCCTGCCAGAGAAGTCAAGTTAATATGCTCACGGTCCTGGTATCCGTGTGTCTATCACGAGTGGGAAACTCCTAGTTCCACAGCTGGATCACGGTGAGGAAGGGAGGAATATTTCATCTTTGGCAAAAATTCTGTAAGCACCAGCCAGGAGGCCTCCTGACCCTTCGGCAGGAAAGCCTTACAGATGTCAACCCATCTTTGACTTGTCTTCTCTTACAGACACGGTGGCCAAGGATGGGCTCAGTGATCTCTCCATTTGCTTGGAGGAACTAGAGCAGAGTTTCATGCCAAATATGGCAGAAAAGAAGAAGATGCTATTAACGACTTTGCTTCCTTAAAGCACTCCATACCTGCTACCAGCATGTACTTCAAGTGTTTGCTGAATTGTAGTCAGTTGTAAATGCTAGCAGAAACGCTAATATAAAGTACTTTAACCGTAAGCATTAATTTGACCAAAGTGGTTTTTTACATACAGTTGAATATGTAAGTGCCAGGGTTTTATTAATAAGCCAAAATTAGAACTGTATCTTTAGCATTCCAGTTCCCAAAATTCCTGTACTGGCCATACAATGCTATGGGGCTGGGGTGAAAAGAGGGGTTCTTTGGCAACCTTCAGCGTTGTTCATGAGGGAGCGGTGGACTCCAACCACCCAGCTAAGGCCATGGCCACAACCAGGCAGAGCTAGTCCCTGTACTAGCTCTCTCCCCTCTACTCTGCTCTCGTGA